CCAGGTCTCCAAAGCGCAAGTCGCGTATTGCACGACCAGTTCATGAAGGATGTCCAGATAATACCAGATATCGGTGACATGCTCACCACCCGTAAGTTGGAAACCCTCCGGCACATTCACAGCATCTCTAACTTCCCTTGACAGCCGGTGGGCAGTCGTCAGCACTCTATAGTGTCTTTCCCGACGACTACCGGGCACCATTTCAGAAGAGGAGGCTTGTAGGCATTCCTGAAGCACTGTTTCAGTATTATAACAGTAAGTCTAATAAATTTGGCTCTGATGCTAGCCTAAAGCTTCATAGCTACCAACGTTACTTCACACATGGGTCTAATACCCGAAATCGAGCGTGTATGGATATCAATTGATCATAAACTATTTCTTTGGGATTATATTGAGGGGTATGTATCCCTTTCACGCCTCTTTTCAAACTGATACAACCCTTCCAAAGCCAAGACATAAGCTCCTTTGTCGACCAACCGGACGTCATCACGCATGTCGCTGTCGTAAAACCAAAAGTCGGCGTCTTCGTCGACGAGATCACATCCGTCATGGTCATTTGCACTCCTGTATCAGTTCTTTTAATTGGGTTGTCCATGTCCACCGTCATTGGTACCAATAATCGCTCCCGCAAAGAAATCAGGATGTATGCAACAGACATGACAGTTTCGACTGACATCGAAATGACCTCTGTTGTGGGGATGTCCGACGGGCGCATTTTTATGTGTGGTTCTCAAGATGGCTGTTTGTACGAACTGCACTATCAACAGAGCGAATCTTGGTTTTCGAAACGGGTGCATATAGTCAACCACTCTGTTGGAAGTGTACAGAGTCTGTTCCCGAGATTCACCTCACCAAAGTCGGAAGGTCTGTGATTTGTTTTGTCCTTGACTTGCGATGAATGACCCTTGCACCTAGACCGTATTGTTGCTGTGATCTCGGATCCAAAACGCAATTGCTTCTATACCCTGTCTGCCAGGAACTCGATATCTATCTACCAGGCCAGCAGCGAGAAGGCTGTGCACCATGTGCAAACTATGTCGAACCTTTACAAGTCTGCGCAAGAGAAGGCACCTGGTTCTCCCGCTCTTACCCCTTCAAACTTCCAGATCGTGGCTTTACACGTCCTAGACCTGGGTGAATCGCGGACAGGGGTTCAATTGATAGCCATCACCATGAACGGCGTACGCTTGTACTTCTCTCCATCAACCTCGGCATATGGTTTTTCATATGGGCCAACCCCAAGTGCTGCGGGCGGTGTGCGACCCCTACAACTCATTCATGTACGACTTCCACCCCCAAATCTATTGCATCCAGACGAGCAATCTAGTCCCCATCGTCCTGCTTACAACAGCTCCACCCGAAACTCTCCTCCACAACCTCCATCCCGTCCATTCATCGTGTCAGGACTTGAAAACTCGTGTTATTTGGACGGACTAATGGTCTCAGCTCAGCCTGGTGATACAGATGGGACAGACTTTTTGCTTTGCACCGCACCTGATCTCACTCGAATTGGCTCGCTCGGGCAACTGAATCCGCCATCGCAACTACAACCATCCCAGCAACCGATATATGGTCCCTCATCATATGGAACTGGAGCAAATCAACGACCTCCTTTAACTGAATATGCTACCTTGCTGGCCATCCCTGGTCGAACATGGTCAATGGCGACGGTTCCCCGAGAATCGACCCCTGGGTCAGTTGCTCCTTCACCTCCGGTCACAAATGAACTCGCAACACAATTCTCCGAGCCTTCACGACAATTTATGATCCTCACGAATGTCGGTCTCACATTTTTGATCAAAAGGCGAGCTTTGGACTATCTCAAAGCGGTCATAGAAGAAGTCCAGACCGAGGGAGTGGTGCAGCCAATAATTGAGTTCAGAGACAGGTAGGTTTATTTGTATATACATCGCTCAAAAACTCACTTTTATATAGTTTTGGAAGAGACCAGACATGTGCCATGTTGCTCGGTCTTGCAAGCGGGAATACTTTCCTGGATGCTGGAGAGCCATCGACAAGTGGCACACTCTGCACAATTAGTCCCGATATTGCCAACGTTGCTAAGCAAGCGTTTTATGATTTTGGCGAGCGACCAATCTGGACAGAACGAGTGACTTACGGTACAAGTGAGTAGTGCCTTCTCTAATCAGACTCGAACTCACACCTTTCAGGCGACAGTTCTGGTAGTGCCATCTTTAGCGGTCGAAGGGAGGGCTTTGCTATATACTTCGCACGTCTAGTACGACCACTGTGGAAAGACAAGTTAACAAAACCAGGGTAAGGTCCAAAACCCTTGTAGTCAATTCTTCTCATACTGAAATCGCACAGCCCCCCTGGTTTGCAACAGTCGAACTTTGAGGATAACCTTTTGGTAACTGTACAGAAAAACCTCTTCGCACTGAAGGAGTTTCTGGATAAAAACCCTCACCTATTCCACTCTGCTCCCGGAGAGCATTCAGTATCGCGGGCGTCATCTGGCAATGAGCAAGAAGCTTGGAAGGTTATTCGTCTTCCACGTCGTGATGCTCTCGCTTAATCCTTCCTTAGGCTGAGCAAAATTCTGTTTCCCAGCTCCAAGCGCTGTTATCCAGGACAATCGAAGCAATATCTTTCATACTTCTGTTGAACGATTACAGGCTGGGGGAGCTGACAGCCCAGTAAGCATTTCTGATGGGCAGGGAATCTTTTAATCTCAAAGCTGATTGCCAGGTGCGATCCTGATACGCAAAAGTTGATCACTTCCATGACATTTGAAGACCTTATTACTTCACAAAATGGTGTCACGGCTGCACGTGCATTGGTTAACGTCGTAATTGACCAACAGATCGGTCAACAGATTAGCGTGCGTATCTGTTGTAAATCTGCTGCACTGGGATGACAAGCTCTGTACAGGTGGATACAATCAGTGAGGTACTACAGCAACGCTGTGGCTCGTTTTGCAGCACAGACGATGTCATGTTGTACAAGGTTAGTCGTAGTTGTTTCCTGTTTTAGTGATCCGTCTTACAGTGAATCAGGCTCGTGAAAGCGTCCGTAAGGCTATGGAGTCACGGAATCCCTCCGAACGTCATAACTGGCTCGGCGAATCTCTGAGGTAAATTGAAGATACCAGATGGGGCTCATGATTCTAACTGTATTGCACCAGACTGTTTACCAAAGGTGCACGGATGCTAGACTTTGACAAAATTCGCGAAGTCTGTGGTGAATACCAGCAGCTCGGTTATGCCAAAGGTTAGTACGTTTTGGTCTAGTGGTCACTATATTTACACCCGCTCAGGAGCTGTGGAACTTCCATTGAGTTGCGCCCAGGCACTAGACCCTGATAATCTGGGCCTCGAGTACTGGTATGCGGCATGTCCGCAAAATGACGCCCGAAAGGAGTATTGCGACAGACGACTCAAGTGTTACGACCTTGTCCTGCATTCTCTGAGCGTCTTTGAGGAACAAGCCTCACAGAGTCCTTCTGTAAAAGGGTCAGCGTCAAACGCAATTGACGACCCCGAAGCTATCCGCAGCCATGCCTATGACCTTGCATTTTCCAGCGAGGACGAGATGTTTCACTCTACGTTATATGAGTGGTTAATTAACCGTGGTCTTGCTGACGAGCTTTTGGCGGTACGTCGTTGTCGTGCTCAACAATCTTGACTTCGCTGATAAGTCTGGAATGATTGTAGATGCGGCCTCCATTCCTGGAAGCCCACCTGAAGCGGGAACCGATCACGGTGCCCAAGTATCAACTTTTGTGGCAATTCTATGTGAAAGACGGTCAACCGTTGCGCGCGGCAGAGATACTTGCTGTCCTAGCAGAGTCTGAGTGAGTGTTGTGTCTATCTATTCTATTCAATCGACACCTCATCAGACATACAGTACTGACTTGCTGTTGGACAAACGCCTCGAGTACCTGACACTGGCCGTTGCCAATGCGAAGTCTCATCCCGTGACCATCGGTGGCAGGCACGAGACTGCTATTTCTTTCCTTACCAACCTCGAAGAAAAACTGGACGTTGCTCAAGTACAGCTCGAGGTATACAATGCCCTCTTACCTCATATGAATGATCCTGGAGAAGCTGGAGAGAAAATAAAGTATCTCAGCAAGACCTTGTTGACCATGTCGGAGGTATGTCCCAATGAAAGGTCTCAGTCGTTGTTTTCTTTATGTACGTTTTCAGCTGTATCAAGTTTATGCGGAACCATTCGATCTACCGGTCATGAAGCTCTTGATCTTGCATGTCTCTGATCATCACGATGAACACGTTGTCCGTCCTATATGGGATAGGATATTTGATGATGGTACGTAAGGTCAGTTTACGAAAAGGTGGCGCCTGTCTTACTCGCATCTCGTTAAGCAATTGAGAAGGGTGCGGATGCACAAACCAATGCTGACCACATCATCGCAAGTGTTGTTCCACTAGGGAAACGATTTTACCCCTCCGAGAGTGCCTTCCCCTTGAGTGAGTCAAGACTGCACTTATTCTAGGTCTTCTCAGCTCATAACATAATTTCAGAGTACATTGCATCATTGTTGGTCAAGTTCGCTCTCAAAAACAGAACACAACTACCAAACGGTTGGAGTCCTCGGGTGCTTGTTCAGTGTGGCGTTCCTTACGGGGATGTGTGGGATGTACTCCATGAGATGTATGAATCACAGGTAATGGGTCTCATCTGAGAACTTTGCACGAGTGAATCTAATTTCGGCACCACAGATACCGCCTTTCAACACGCAAAGTGGCGTGCAAGTCGTATCCGCTGACATTGCAATTCTTTTAAATGACTGGCTCGAGGAGGCAAAACGCCCTCAATCCTCAGTTCCCCGAGGAGAATTCCCTGTTGGCAGAATAGATCTCGCTGTTGGACAGTATCTGGCGGAACTAGGTGGCAATCAGGCGGAGACAAAGGCAATTTATGAAGGAATCAAACGTCAGCTAAGAAGAAACTGGTAGCACATGGGATGCCTTATCTATTACTCATCATAAAATCCTACTACACCTATGTCGGGTAAATCAATTGACTTCCAGAATGACATCCTCCGCAAACAGAAGTAAACGTTCGCTGATCTTTCTTGTCAATTTGTACGCCTCGTATAACGCCCTGGATGCAATGATCAGGCAAACATGCAATGTGAATAAGAGAGACCTGCCTCGCAATCCCAATAAGTAGTAAACCCAGGATGATCATCGCAGCTATGTCTGTTGAGTTACCCCTCCGGCTTCTGTTCCCCCTGAAACGAGCTATCCAATGGACTGGGCCAAGAAGAGGCAGCGACAGCAGCATATGAACTATAGATCCGGCACCTATCATAGGGAGGCCGATCACGAACCTGCGCACAAACTGCTTCAAGAATGATGGTGAGGATGGGAACGGGGCAGGATTAGTCCTCGTCAGTCTTGGAGCATTGTCTTCTAGAGGAAATGCGTCCTGGTCTCGAAGTATTCGTAATGCTGCACGGATGAGATCGTGGCCAACGTCAATCGGCGAAATGAAGAAGTAGTATGATGATCCGTAGGACGAGTAATCGTCGAAGGAACTCATGAAATAGGTTGTAACATAGGACGAACACATGACAAGTAAGGTGAACAAAAAGGAAGATATCATGCCAACTACGACTGGAAGGACGTCAGTATCATCTCAGTATGTGGAGGGGGTTTCACTCACTCGGGTTGGTCGCCAACCCGATCGCTTTGGTCCGAGCAAAGTGATAACGGTAATGGCACTGTGGACAGCGATAGAAAGAGTTGTTGCTGAAAGACGAGTTCCTCCACTTTTTCAGGCAGGATATATGGACATACTAAATAGCCTATGTCAGTGTATCGAGATTCGAATCATTGGAGGGAGGTGACTGACGCTAATGGAACCCTTGCACAGACAAGGACGAATAAGTCTTCCCAATGAGTCGTCTTCGCCATCGAAGCAGATACGGCATTGTTTCTCCTGCTCGGGCGCTGGTTTGTCTGCCATGTTGGCCATGACTGTCGGCGTCGAGGAATGATCATGATTTGTTTTGTGCAAATATTGTGACATATATGGAAATTCGGATTCGGCACCATAATTTGGCTCGTATGTGGAAATTGCCGAATGGAGCATAGATTTTCGTTATGAAGCCAAGGTAGAGCAGTGCTTTCTAGCCTACTTTAATTGAGATAGATATCACTGTGTCTGTTGAACGAGGATTGAAGGAGAAATGAGTGAGTTATGCCCTGCCGATATGGGCCGTGACGGAGTTTGAATATTGTGGGACTGCCGACTCTTCTGTCGATCACCTGGTCTTCTGGCGTGAAAAGTCGGATGGGACAACTCTATCACAACTCTAGTTTGAACATGGTTGTAATCCGTGCCAAGTCAGTTCGCTTCGGTGCTTGAATTTAATTTTCATCGTGTTTCTTTACGTCTAAACTGTGGCAGTGGAAGGTAATGTTACTCGGTGACTAGGTTCCTCGAGTTGACGTATTTAATACAGAGCTCAGTCGCGCGATCCAGGACGTTGTTCGACTGCATCAGGGGTTTAAGGGATCACCGCGTTTCAAAGGCGAGGGTTTCATTGCTTCAAAGTTCACATAACGCTCTCAGGCCATTGTCGCGCTTATTGCGCGCTATCAAGTACTAAATATCACTTTGTTGGGCGATGGCTGATGCGTTCTTTTTTTCAATTGATATCGTTGCTACGAGCTGAATGCCCCCCCTCCACGATAAATTTCCGATGATACCGCTACTAACTTATGTAAATCCCCGGTTGCACAAATTAGGCGAAGGGACCTGATTTGACGCCCCACCCACCTCTTGTTCTTCTGATACATTAGGTCTACTTCCATAGTACTCAATATTGAATAACCGGCACCCCGTCGGCGATAACCGATAGTCTTCTAAGTTGGTAAGTAACAAACTGCTCCGACATCATTCATTCAATCATAAACATACTTGCAGATCTACTTCAGATGTCTCTAATTCCTCCTTGCTCTCCTCCATGTCAGCCCGAGTCATAGTACAACAGTCAATGGCCAACTACTACTACTAAGCGATTCACGATATCATACTCGGTCCCACTCAATTTTCCCTCTAGAATTTCCTGTCTACAGACGTAAGTAATCACGCTTGTACATGAAAGCATCGTCACCAGGACCATCATGTGTTTTTTCCAGGTACCTCGCATTAATTTCACCCGACTTCGAGTCAGGATGAATCTTACCAGATCTCCACAAGGCTAAGCTCTTCCTTCCTGCCGTAGATCGTTATTATTTTAATGCTCAAGTCCTAACTCACATTAATGTTACGTGCCCACCTTCGGGCTTTTACATCAATCAACCACGGCTCATGCTCGAACGCACCTTGTGTCGAGCTAGCCTATTCCTTCTTGATGAAGTCTACGACATGGATCTCGATCGCTATGTCTTGGAGGATATAACGGTAGGACCCAGTCCTCTATCTCACTAAGATGGCTACTAAGTACCCTGTCCCATCCAGCGATAAAATACTCGCTCTATCTTGCATGAATGTCGGCGTTGGTCCTGGTGGAACAACCGCAATGCTTGCGTTCGTCATGCGGATTGTTCATGACCCGCTCATCTATAACACTGACTTTCCAGACGCGTCTCCATCGTCGATTACAAAGGACAAGTCATGCTTGATACATACGTATCACCTACCATGCAAGTCAGCGACTACCGAACTGCAACCACCGGTATAGAATCTTCTCACCTTCTTTCTCGTGAGTTCAACAGCCCACTGTCATTTTTCTGCTATTCACACGACCTATCACACCAGCCGACACCCCTACTTTCGCCCAAGTTCAACAGCACGTTGCTGACCTTATCAAGGGCAAGGTACTTATTGGACACAGTCTGTGGAACGATCTCTCTGGTAAGCATAGCTTTCGTTCAATTACCCCGGCCGTCACTTATTGACGTCTTACCCAGTTCTAGGAATTCCTCATCCCGCAGTGGGTACTCGGGACGTTGCTCTATATCAGCCTTTTCGAAACGCTCTTCGGTCCCCTAATCAGGTGATCGGCCTTCAAACTCTTATGTGGCATTTGATGTGCCGTCGATGTCAAGACGGCCAGCTTCACCCAGTGAGTTCCTACTATCATGTCAGTCCTGCTCGACCCCTGAGTAATGTGTTTCCCGTAGGTCGAGAATGCGCGTGCTGCACTTGACTTGTATCGGACTGTTTCGTCTGAATGGGAAGGGGCAATTGCCATCGGAAATTGGCCCTCATCCCTTCCTCCTAGCACATTCTCCCGTTGCTATCTCTGAACAATTTCCATGCCGATTACTACTCTTTACACCTACATGACATTCTTCCGCAGGACTATTTCGTATTTAGATGCTGTTAATCCTACTATACACTCGTCTTATGCCAATTCGTTTTATGCCAGTTCGTTATGGGCTTTATGACTCTATGTATGGGTGCATTGGCTTCGCCTCGGAGTTCCAAGTAAATCTACAACTACTGGCTAAGTTACTCGGTACGTCACTGCACAATCCTCGACTCTTCTTTGCTTCAGCATTGAAACCTTCCTCTTCAACGCCTGCCATTTCCTATTCTCGGCTCCCCTTCCATGAAAAATCTTTCCAGTTGGCCGTCTAAGTAACCTGGTAAAAGCCCGAGGGGATGCCCCTCCCGTAATGTCCCGTTGCGTTCGCCATGATTGCTTCTGCAAGCGAAGTGTTCGCTCAGATTCGAGCATAACCGCGGCGATATCAAGACGTCCTTCTTTGATGGAAAGACTAGCGATCCGCCGCCTGACAACGCTGGATTCTGTGCGCGGACCCCACCGCGTGCGAAAGGTTTTGAGGCACTTCATGGCGACAGTCCCGCATCGTTTGCAAGACCGGAGACTTGCGAGGATTAAAAATAGTGTTTTTGACGATGGTCGGATCCCAGGGTGAGCTGAAAGTAGATGGGAGATAATACGACGTTGGGCGAAATGTCGACCAAGTCCTGATTTCTCAGTTACAGCCCTGATGTGCAGGTGAATGATATCCAGCACTGCGTGCTGTTGTCTGCGGCTGAGTCTCCTGGGGAGCGTTTGGAAGTATAATGAAGTAGATTCGAGCGCCTTGACGTGGTTTCCCAACTGAATCATAGCCTGCGCGATGAAAAAGACGGCCCTTGGTGGCAGCTGAGAATATTCGGGCGAGGCAACGAGTGGAAACATGTTCATAAGAGAACGATAGCGAGAAACCTGCATTGAACCAGAGACCGTGGATGTTTGCAAGACCACGCATCTGAAGTTCGCAGACTTCCATCCATAGCCTCGCCGTTGCGGAATTTTAACCCACCGTCGTAGAGCACCGCGTTTCAAAGAGCCGAAAAACTCCATCCACAGAGGCAATGGTAGTCCATCCTGATGCCCAGATCGTAAGCCCAACTCTTCTGGCCACCGCTCTCTTCTCATAACACGTTGAACACGTCTCATAGCCTCGTCCCATCTGCCAGTCCGTACCAACCACCTTACAGTTAATTTCCACGTTTCGAGATTTGGTAGGACCGACTCGGCTTTCATGGCATTGAGAAGACGTGCAGCAGTGCCGAAAGCCGCTTGTCTCAAAGCAAGAGAAACCAAGAAATTGAAGGAACGAGTTGAACGAAGGAGACGCGTGTCCTGAGGGTTTGAGAAATGGTAGTTGACGAGTGTAGTGAGCGATGAGTGCGAGTAATTATGCATGTCCAAGAGATTTTGATAGAACATCTCACAAGAGGTGGGAGTTGGTAGGTGAGGTATCGGCGCAGCGGCGAGGGAATGGGCACTGACGAAAGTAGCGGATTCGGAGGGAGGGTTTGGGATATACATTGGTTCCGCACGACCTGGATCCTTCCACGAAGCCTCCCTTATAGAGATGGAGTCGGGATCTATGGGTATGACATATTGACCTCGACGTGGTGTCTGAGGTTGCCGCACGAACGATTCGTCAGAACGTGATTTTCTAGACATCCCGACATGCTTCTTGTTTGGAAGAAGAGATCCATGGTATTTAACACGTCGTGTCCAAGCGCGAGCTGCAGCTGACTGCAAAATTGCAGAAAATGAAGACGTGGTGTCTGGCGGAATATATGAACATTTAAGCAGGCGGGATGCATGATGAAGCATGCATGAGCTCGCAACTACACGCTGGTCAATAACGTTTCTGACTTTTTGCACGTTTTTTTTCGACTTACTTGCAAGGCAAGCTTTGGGAGACTAGTCTTCTTCTGCCTTGAACAATATTTCTGATTTCGTCCGATTCTGGAGGGCTCGATTGACAAGGTTCTAAAGTAAACAGTGACAAACACTCTCCGTCATGTGCGATAAGTCACTAGTACTTCTGCGCGCTCCAAGATCGTTCTGAGTTTCGCGTGCACACTTCAGGCCGGCCTTTTGGTGAGTGGAACGTTCGTTGGACTATTCCAGAACTAATAATTCATAATTGACTTCAGATTACGTCGCGCATGTGCATTTCATAGAAGCATGCTTGAAAGCTTACATTGAGCTTATTTTCACAGCAGGGTTGGTCCACTCTATCGTAGACAAGGTTCCTAGAATGATGATGCAGGGCACAAACGTGCACCACCGGTGTCATGGTCTTGCTAAAAAAAATCCTTGCTTTTCCTTGTCAAGCTTCTTATCGCTTGATGCGGCTCGAAGGGACACCCCAGAGTCGTTTTCCGGTAGCGATCAACGGAGAAAACTGGGGCAACAACATGTGTTGATCTAGCACAGGCGCTGGCACTAGAAGACCAGCAGCAAGCTCGGTCACGGTGTTTTCTCGAGCCCGACACATTGGAGCCATATTTTCGACGTTCACAGCGTGTCACCAAGATGCTGAAAATTTATTTGAGTTGGCGATCCGTCAGCATCATGCAGTGCGTTCGAACTCAGAAATAGTCTTTCTACTGTCTTTGAAATTTACCAAGTGACTTTCCGCAGCCCAGGCTAGATTTTGATTCGAACCTTAAGCTTAAAAGTCGGAGTGCACCTCGTCGCAATCTAGAAAACCTTCATGATATCTAGATTCTAGCATGTAAGCCAACATAGTCACGGAGTTTGAAAGGTGTTTTGAACACGTTTTGAATCTAGGGTCTACCCCCCTTCTTGATGTCACTCTAGAACTGGGCGTTTTGGACATGCAGACTTGCAAAATACTGACGTTTGACGATGATCCGGGCACATCGGCACGAGGACTTGAGAACATAGATTTAGAGTTAGAACAACGTTCTAAACGCTGTTGGGAGTCACCTAGCCACTGAAGCTGACTGACCCGAAGGCATCTAGATTCTGAACTCCGGGGTCGCAACCCCTGCACGATAAGACACTCAGGTGTTTTGGGATCGCCGGAACTGCAGGCACCCAGGCTGCGGCGTCTGAGATCTGAAAGCTAATGCACCTAAAGATGTGCGATGATATGACGAATTTGAAACAGGTGTGCACATTCCATATAGTCATACAAACTGCGAGCATAATAATCGATCATGACTAAATACACACTTAATGAGTGCCACGAGAAAAAAAAAACTTATGACCTATCAGTAAACTATAATCCAACGAGAGCTCCGCTCAGGATCATCAACAGTAGAGTTCCATTATCAAAGTTCCTCCTCCATTAGGTGTAGAACATTCCTTCCCACCAGCCAGCCGACTTTGCTTACCCACTGATCTCGCACCTTTCGCATGTCCTGCCATCCCTCCGGACCTTTCGCCTCGGCAAACTCATCCAAGCCCTTTTCCCAACTTCTAACGGTGTCCACTCCGAACATCCCCCCTTGTTGATTCACGACCTCGTCTATCCGATCTATCCAGGCTCGCCACTCCTGAATTAGCCGGGGTAGTAACAGAGGGGCGAGAGATGATTGTGTCAGAGGTGGTTGAGAAAGGATATGGTTCGTGAGGGCCGAAAGGAAGAGAAAAGTCTCTGACGGATGAGACCTGTCTTTGTGTTGCAGCTGAAGGGCTGCAGAGAGCGACTGTGACGAAGCACCAGAATCAACGTGCAACGGCAATGAAGGCGATGCATAGGAAAAATATGGCACATATGACATGGAGGCGGACACGAATTCATGTATAGCGGGTCGTAGACGTGATAGGATGTATGATTCTCGCATGCCACCATCAGGTGGGCCTGCTGGACTCTGCTGGCCGAAACGTGTGAAGCCAGATGGTAGGCCGCCGGCGGGTGTTCTATAGTTTGTAATCCCAGATCCAAAACCAAAGGAAGTAGTTGATGATGATGATCCTAGCGCAAATGATGAAGGGTTGGAATAAGGATATGCTTCCCGAAGTTTTCGAGCTGATTGCTCCAGAGCTTGTATAGCTGTATCCAGCGTCGGACGGGGTATCAGAGGTAGTATAAGAGATTTAAGTGATGGCTGAGCACTAAGCATGGAATTAAGCAGAGGAAGTAGTGATTGCGGTGGCAAACTCGCTAATTAAAGCAGGTTAGATTTACCAGGATACGATAGGCGACTAAACCGACATACCAAGGAGAACGCCAACGTCGACATCGTTATCTGAACCCACTGAACTATTTTCTTTTCCGCCTTTGTCATCTTTTGAGTTATTTGCAGAGGTGATCTTTGCTCGCTTAGGTGCCCCACGCTTAGGGCGTTCTGGTGTTGGACTTCGGTCCATAGCTACGTCCCGGGCGCCATGTCGACTGGAGCTTTCGGTTTCATCGTCAAATTCGTGTCTTCTTTTCTGTGAGCGATGCGCAGAAGCAGGCAGGTTCATGCTAGAGGCTAATTGCTGGAATGCAGCAGGCTGCGTATGTCCCATGGTCATTGTAGACTGCCAACTAGCTCCGGAGTTTACTGAAAGGCCAAAACCAAAACCCAGGCAGGACGGCGGATGAGTGGCTGGGTTGTGCAAGAAATCAAGCGGGGGATGGACAAGATTTGCCATGGTTTTGTTGTTGAAAGGATGGTGGACACTGTTACAAAAGTCCTTCAGGCCACAATGCAGCCACGCGAATGCAGACGATCACCTTGACCAGCCCTTAACAAATTGCACGTGACATTCATATTTAAAACGCCTGGTTTTTTTTTCGGATGCGGCTCCAGGCTTGCTCTTTCTTTCTCTTTCTCTCTCTTTGAAATGTTGCTTCAATCAGGGTAAGCACCAACTTGTTGAGCCTTATTTCGCGGTGACGATACAAACGAATCGCTACTTCGAAGCTTACAGAGCTAATGAATTTTTTCGTTTATACCCAAATTTCTGAGCTGTTTCTGATGCTCAGTTTATCCGCATCGTTATGCTTACAAATCTTTTGTAGTTCACCACGACGACGTTTGTAATTGCCGATAAGTCGTGAGTATCATATCCCTTTCCATTCTCGAATGATCGAACAAAATAGAAGTCAAGCCCTGACCTTGTCTAAAGGACAAGTGTTGATGAGCATCCATGCTAATACTGACTTTACAATGTCATCGCTGCAATCACTTGATGCTGATTCTTCTTTTCAGGTCATGACTGGTACATGGCAGATACAATCAGTTGTCATAGACATAGATCATCAGTCTCCAAATATTTTTGTATCATATGCACCGGCGAGCCGTTTCTGCAACAATATCGATGATTCAATTGCGATGTATGATATAAGGATATCTACATAAGCCACGAAGTGTTGGTGTTGAGTCCATATAAGTATGTAGTACCATGCTATGTCGATGCCCACAATGAGTTAGCCAGCCACATCACTCCGATCCACACCACCAACTTGGCTTTTACTCCGGGTATCCAACCTGCCTCTTTGTACCACACCTTGTAGCCTGGCTCACGCTGTGGCAACGTCCCATCAGCTAATCTATCCACCCACCGCCTTGCGGGTCGCACGGGTGAATCAGGTTTTACGGGATGACTGTCGCCATCCTTACTCGTGTGGACGTCAGTGGCGAGGGAAACAGATTCTGCGCTTGAACCTGATGACGCCGTGTGGCGGGTGACGTTGCGAGTTGAAGTGGGAAGTGAACTTTCCTTGTTTCCACATATCCACGTTGTAAGCTCTCCTGTGGCATGGGAAACATGATTGGAGATGTAGATGAATATGATCGTGGAGATTACGAAGTTTATTGGACGCCAGCGTGTTCCAGGGAGAAGGACAAGAACACCTTTCGTGTCACCTGCGAGCCATAGATGATACTGGATAATGAATGTCTCCAAAGAACATCTGCCGATAAAAGTGAAAGCCCGAGAGCTGCATGAACGAAGGGAAGAACTTGCGTTCCTGAGAGTGATGAATGCTACGATGGGCAAGAATGATATATATCGATGCCATGCGTTATAGGTGAACTTGCTTTCCTGCATGAGTTCAAACGCGAAGAACCACAGCAAGACAAAGATAGAAATCACAACAGCCGCTTTCACCGCCATGGGCCAAAGATGATGGTCGGTGAGTCGATATGTTTGGATCTTGATTACAGCAATTGACAGAAGCATCCCGAAATACACGATCCACAGGTCAAGAATTACCCGGAAACTCCATTCACGGGCGGACCAATGGATGCTGAATATCTGCTCCAGAAACGCGAATACGGTATCTAGCATCCACGTCTCAGTCATGAACCAAGTGAACATGCCCATGGAGATCGCAATCTTCGATAAGAGAAATGGCATGCGATCGTTATATTGCGAGCCTATCGCCATTGTCCCGTATACGATGAGAAACCACATCGAGACGAGGGGCGAGAAATAGTACGAAAGGTAATTGACGTCCATGGTGTATACCAGGACTACCGTTAGAAGATTTAGGCGAACCAATACCTACAACCAATTCGACATTATTGAATGATACTGTTACAAGGCAGGCTCGGATCTGACGCTTACCTGAGCAATACGCAGAAAGGCAAAGTCGGCTTTCTTGATATAAAAGGTTGTGTGACCGTAACCAGTCATGAACAAATATGCCGCGACCAGAACTCGAATAGGATTGTAGATTCCAGAAATCTTGGATGCCCCCAAGTAGTGATATATAAGGATTGCGACTGGGACGAGAGTGAGAATATATAGACATTAATGTCGTAGTGACGAACCTTGCATCCACCCCTTCCACTCATCGGTTTGATCACGGTTTAGGAAGCCCATATCTTTGTCCGCACGCTTCACCGTTGTCAGCCCCGCCGCGAGAGAGCATAGCATGAGAAATCCAAATGTCCACGGGTTGAATTGTTTTTGTTCTTTCAGCCAGAAGCCAGTTCGATCAGCGATAAAGATTAGGCCGATGGATAAACCAAAAACAACAGCTGGTCTATATTCGCCTGCGAAGGAGATACTTTTGGTCGGATTTCGAGTGTCTGAATAATAATCAGGTTTGTGTTTCCTAAGAAAGAACGGGCTCACACGCAAGATACCACATGACTGGTCCGTACACCACGACAGCTACTATGATAGCAAGCTGCAAAAACGACGGCAACGGGTAAGCGCGGCAACATGTCTTGTCGAAAGGGGACGTCTTTGGCCACACGTGATTGCAACGCAGATTAAGGAGGATGTTGGCATGTGCTTTCACGATGTCGTCCGAGAAATGTAGTCCATCTTGTGTGCTAGCGTCGTCAAGCATCTTATTGAAAACAAGGGGTAAAGAAACGGGTAAAGCCGCGGGGGAGCTGGAGAATATGGAATAGATAGCAGGTGATGGAGGATTGATGCGATGGTGGAGGTCCGAGTTCATCGCATCTACATCTGAGGAGTGCATGGTTTCGGCACGTTCAGGAGACAGTTTTGAAGATACAATGTCCTCCACGGGAAGGATTATCACCTCATCTGCCGGCTTTCTCTGTGCTGCAGAGACAGACTCCAAAAGACTCTCCATATTCGCTTCCCAGGCAGGGAGACCACCGGTAGTGGCATAACGCAAGTACCACAAGCCCGAGCCTAGGACAAGTATAGCAGGACGGTTATCGACGCCAGGAGAAGGCAGGTGACCATGAACGAGAGAAAGAGTGCCTGATGTATTCAAATAGGGATCCCAGAAAAAATCCAGTCTTGTTACTGAATCTGAAGTAAACGAATAGTTAGAATGCTTATGGTCGTCATCAGGAGGAGTGTCAGGGAGCTTCGGATCGACAATATGCATGAAATGGAAATATAGCGAGCGTGTTACGGAGTCACCGATAAAAACGACGCGTCTGGAAGCAAGGCAAGACGTGGTATCCTTCGATTGGTATGTGTGTAGCATACAACCTGATTATTGGTTAAAGGGTGAGCACGACAATGGAAGCCTGAGCAACAGACAACACACCATCAGGTTGCCAGTTCCGGTGGTTCTCATCCAACCAGGTACCTCTAGTAAGCAAGGAATTGCAATGCAGTGGATCCGCTCGACCTGCGACCCCGTTAGACGCAGAGCCAAAATGTATGAGGAATAAATGCACTAACCAGAAATTATATAATGTAGTATCCCTGCCAATACGGCGAGTGCTCCGGTAGACAACGCTAGATAGTGGTGAAATGAAGGGTTTAGCGAGAACAGTCTTTTGGATGAGGACATGATGGCGGTGAGAGTCTGCTGCGACGTGGCAGTACAGGAATGTTTTTATGCTTCAGCGCTTGAAGTCAGAAGTGAGATAATTAATTATGCTGGCAAAGTTTTTAACCCCAACGTAAGCATCGGGCGAGACTTTAAATAGTTCGTGATCATCACTAGTGTCGATGAGCTGCAGAGCGACACAGCGAACCCGATGGTCGTTTGTGTACAGGTACCTTTTTGGGCTTACTCGTTACCGACGTCGTTATTGTACCGCAAAATGATCTGTTATTAATGTCCACATGCACATGATATAACGTGCACTATCCAGATGCTCGTACTCATCACTGGGGAGTTGGTCAAATTATCAGTGTAGTATTACTGTCCATTGGCCATTGATATACATAAAGTGATGATGCAGTGCATGAAGTTAATGTCCAAGTATGAGATCAAAAGGTTTACATTTAAATACTCGACCCGCCAGTGGTGGTATTACTAGTGCTAAAGCCTATACAACAGTCAGCAATTAATCGAACGATGAATTATAGGAGGAAGTACATACCTGTACCTTGACAGTGATTGTTAGATGCAGTTGGTATACATGATAGGTACCTGCAGCCCGAGCACGCTAGAAATTATCAGCCATCATGTCTTCGTGATCGCAACAAACACAAACCCGCATAAGGATCTGAAGTATAGAAGTTCCGAATCAGGACAACGAAGAGGACGATTGCTAATGGTATGGCTGCCAGCCGGAAAGCCCACATAATGAGCTTATGGCGCTTCGTTGAACTGATCACAGGGTACAGGGTTGTGCCAACGAGAAGACCCATACACAAGCCCCCCAGGTGAGCTGAAATTTTCTATGAGTTGAGTTGAGGGATGAGACAAACAGTCACTTGCCAAAGTTATCCACATCTATCGAGAAAAAGTTATCGATGATATTCAAGACAGGATAAGTGTGCACGTACAAGGTATATACCCAAGAGCGATACCGAACAGCAGTTCCACTGTCATGATGGCGAGCTACGGGAAAACATAAGAGCGAAAATAAGCATGAATGTGATTGTCATCACCTTTCTACCAGGTCGGCATTGATATTTCCAATGTGCGAAAAGATCCACCCATGTAACCTAAGTTGCGAGGTGATCAAAAGGTAAGAGGTGCAAACAGGTTTTACAGCTTACCGCGACTGTACCGAAGATGGCACCACTGGCGCCTATTGAAGGTGCGCCGACCAGTGAAAAATTACCGCCCAACACGTTACTGTGCCATATGTTGGTGTGCATAACAATGAAGTAAGAAGGATTTACCCAAAGATCCCGGCCGCGAAATAGGTTATAAAAAAACCAGCGGAGCCCATTTCACGTTCTATCTGGAGGGGCATAAGAGCAAATAATTGGACTAGAAAGACTACCAACTTGAGCGGATATTGTCAACTGAGCGAGCATGTTGAGGATGATATGGATAAATCCTGCATGCAGGAAGATGGCAGTGATGAATCTGAAGTACTGAAGTTTGGCCCTGAACTATTACGACCACAGCTTGCTTACCTGAACCACTGGTCGGGCTCGCCGCCGTGGAAGCCACCGAAACCACATACGTCCTCGATCGAACAGAGCCGATCTGGCGGATTTGCGGTATCATTGAGGCCTAGTCGTCAAGACGGATCAGTTAGAGTCGTCAGGAAGTAAGACAAGTTTATCTTACAGGCAATCGGAGTAGTTAAGGGGAGTCCTTGAATAACTTTCATGCATGGCGGGAAACGAGCACCTAAATTAATCAATGCACTTTCCGACGGCCCAAGCATGGGGTTTACAACTGGCTGAGTGGAGGTCAGCGACGAATATGGTGCTCGCGGTTTATTCGCAAACCTTAAAGGATACTGGGGTGCCCTGTGCTCTGGTGTTCACCACCAACTCATTGATGAAAACGCCAACCATGATAATTGTTAAGGCCCATACTACGAGAATAAATGTCTCGCTGATGGGATGACAGTTGTATGCTCACCAACGTAAGGATACTTTTGCCGCCCGATACCCCGCTTCTTGTCCTCGATCCGCTGATCAATAGGGTACTTCCCCATGTCCATCCCGAGAACCTTCTGAAACGGAGATGCGCTGTCTGCAGCAAGCTTGGAGTTCTCATCCAATGGTTCTGCGTATTCTAGAAAGTTTAGGCCATTGTTACACTACCAAGGACGCAAGACACACCCAGGTCCTGATAACTATCTGAGCGTCCCATATCTGCAGCATTATGCATCAGGTGGTCGTCTGATTTGCCAACGACAGACGGTGGACGTGTTGAGTAGGAGTCCTCGTCCTTATATGGGACACTCAAGTCACTGAAAACTGGTCCATTTCTTTCTGACAACGACGGTGTAGGTTGCCGGCTTGGTATGGCTGGCAGGGAGGGTGACTTTGTACGTCGATAGTTGAAGATGAGAGATTGTGCTTCGGTTCGACCAGCACCACGCAAGAATGATGAAGGGTCCAGGGTAGGAATGCCGCTCGTAGTTGTTGCGAGAGTTGTGGTATCGTCTTGTATTATCCCATCTAAACCGTCAAAGGGTTTGTTTCGACTGTTCGAGTTATCCCCAAAAGGATCCGTATGGAAATTCGATCCAGCTGGATGGTTTGTGTCAAAGTGTGCCATGATTTCCAGAAGCACGGCAAAGGATTCAAGTGAAGGTGGTGGTATAGGAAAGAGATTATATGTGGATTGCCAAGCTGCAAGGGGCCATAGGTTTCAAGACCGAATTTCAAACCGTATAACGTCACGCACACTGCCCCAACCACTACCGGCGGACTCCGCAGTCAAATGCTGTGATGAACCTGGTGACAGATCACAAGTTGAAGTCAACGAGGCGTACAATTCACATACAGAATGTATTGCATATTGTATTTGCGGGCTGAATTTCGTTAACTATTGAAAATATTGAAAGATCATATTTAGATCGTATACAACTGCATTCGTCTAGCTTCCTCTAATCTCTGACCACCGTCAGTCGATTGGAAGTCCCTTGCTTTCATGCCATCTTTTCAGGAGTGTGTTACTGGGCATACCGAAAGGATCTAAAACTTTCCTAGCGGCCTCAACCCCAGCAACAGGAAGATTAGAGGGGTCCAGTAGTCCAAGCTGCACAAGAATCCCAGCTTGATCCCAATACCTAAAAAGGGTGAGCCATGTAGCCTACAAGCCAATATCTCAAAGGAATACCCACAGATGTCTAATAGTAGCAGCGTTGAGGATAACGGCACCTTTAGACTCCTCTAAGAGTAACTGAATGCACTCACTCGAAGAAAAGCTTATCGCCTCTGAAGGCAACTATCCCGACCATGGCGATCTCAATGTGTTTCCCTGTCGGAGCTATTCCAGGCAGAAAACTATCGACGGGTCGGCTTCATAAGACGAGAGGGAAAATCCTTTGAAACGTACTAGTCTATTTCCTGAAAAGCAAATTTAGCTTGCTCATAAAATATCAATGAATCGCAACGCACAGATGTGTGGTGGCACTTGAAAATCATCTCATCAACAATCCTGTCACAGCCCACTGAACAAAATTTAGCGAGTCAAGTCCTGAACTGAGCTATGTATACGTCACCAGTCCGGGAGACGGTAATGAGCTCAACGTCTTGCGGTGTTACCTGTCACAGGTCGTGAAAGCCGAAAATGCATAGGGTAATATTACCCCTTACAGTTGTGAAATGATACTAAGAGACGAGCAGGTAAACGCTGAGCTGGAGCATCGTCACGGTGGTCCACTAACCTTATAAAATCTCGCCAGATCGTCATACCCGACACCCCCGGTCATCGTTGCAACATGATTGACGTATGGTGTGGCAACCTGTGTCAACGTATTACTGCCTGTCAATTCATCATTTGGAATGAAGATGAACCATTGTAGTCATCGTCTCTGTTGATAGAATGAATTTAGCCCCCCTGGTTTTGAATGCGATGGTGATGATATATTGACGTACTAGGTGCATTTCTTTCGACGAATTCCTGCCAAAAAAACGTGTAAGTGACTTCTTTAGCGCCATATTATTCATGTACATAATAAGTGTGCTTCTCCCAAAGCCTCTCAAGGTTGAAATGAGGGCCAAGATGTGCCTTCAACAACTCAAGGGTCCGGGTAAGCGATAGACTAGAGGCCGAGCGAAGATATGGGTCGACCGATTGTGTGTTGTTAACATTCACACAGACGGGGGGTTGTATCGAGAAGGGAAACGGTGGGGATTTTGACACCAGAGGGTATGAATACACCCGCACCGGTAATTGAGAGTGAGTCGGGAGAGAATAACCAAGATTAGCCGGATCCTCGAAAAGTAATAGAGAGGCATGGAGCACTTCTTGGGAAGAAGCAAGATGAAAAGTGACTCTTAAAATGGACGGCAACTATAAGCTAATACAACAACGCTCAAGGCAATAGTCGACTTACGGGATGTGTCTCCTGTGGCTGTCCCTCATCAAAAAACCATGGGTAACCTCAGCGTCTGGGCAAAAGTGAGTACAAGCCTTCAAATCTGCGAGCGAGAGAGCGAGTTTCGACACAAGGGTCTCTGCATCTTCTGTGGTCAAACCGTATGTCACCAGTCCCCAGTCAGCTCCTAGAGCAATGATTTTGTCATCGACAACTTTCATCGCATCCTTGAAAGAAGAATTGGGGGGAAGAGGGTATGTCAAGTGTACGACATTGTATCCTTCCTGTGCGAACTGGAAAGTGACAGCACCGAATAGCAAGTTGAGACCGAGTTGGCCAAAGAGAATATCTGATAACACACCTGTTGGCACCAACTAGTCTGATCTTGGGGAAGTAGCATCAATAGAGTCGCGGGTTTCACTACGGAAGCCACGGTATTGAAGAATACTTCTGTCTGCGTCATCTTGTGGTTGTGGTGGGGCTTTATCAGGAGGAATGATTATCTTCCTGCGTCTATAAAGGTCTGGCTAGGAAGACTATGCCATTATTGGGCTGGATCAAGGCGGTCAGTCTCCCTTTGGCATCATTGAGACGAATTGAGATAAGCGGCTCCTTCATATTCGACTAAGTACTACCCTCCCTGATCATCAAATTCGTGGTCGACAGATTGTTGAAACGGTAACACGACAGATGCGTAATATATGCAAGTCCAATCCGAATGCAATATCGAGGTAGAGCAATGACAGATAATGAACAGATGAGTCTGACGATTCATAAAGAAATTGGTATGACAGGGTCCCCAATAAGACTAGGACGCCCTCTACTGCGAGCAGATGGTCTCTTGGTAAGTGGGGTACCGTGCGATACGGTGTTGGGCACATCAGTGTTGATGTGCAAGTCATCTATTCCATCGGATGGTGGTGTGGATGGGTAGGTCTCTTCGTACTCTTCTTCATGCACGGGCAGTTGGAATGTCTGTGGTTTAGTCCTGAACCTGTCGACCCACTGCAGTGTTTCAAAGTCGACATTTCGTACCCTTCTACTGCGACATCTCCACTTCATTGGCCCTCCATCGAGAGTGCTTGCTTGGCTAGTGTTCCGAGCGTGGGCTACGGTTCGCCCACCTGCTCGTTCACCATATCCGCTGACCACTCGTTTTTCGGGTGTTGCAGAAAGCACACGAGGGTCTGACGGAAGGAAAAGGGGCAGCATATGGCGAGAATCTAGAAGCTCCCCTAGAACTTGAGGTGCCTTGGCTGGTTCCCATTCCGATTGTGAGTGCGAACGATTGAACAAGTCGTCGATGCCATGCTGGGCAGCAAATGTTTCTGAAGATGCGTTGAGGCTTGCATTAGCTTCGTTCGCCATGCTATCTTCTAGCTCACGTTCCCGCTCACGCTCGCCCATCTGGTGCGTGCGTTAGTTTCGCTTAGCAAAGATACCAGCCAGGGCAATACCTCCTTGCGCAGGGCCTCAACACCCATTTTAACACGATGACGTTCCCAGTCCTTTTGAAGCTGCGTCAAATACTGAATACACTCGTCTGTCATCCTCCCCTCATTAACTTCATATTTGTAATCTCGCACAGCACGTCGCATCTGGTTTGAGCGGTAAGCATAAAATCGTGATGTCTAAAAATGACTTGCTTGTAACGGGTTAATGCTCTTCATTGTCTGTATCGTAGCCACCAGATTAGAAAAATCCGTAATCGATGACAGGCACTGTGATCGCGACATTAAGCGGGCGACAACATAAATTCGAGTATTGAGACCTCACCTGAAGCCAATTCAGCAAGTCCCGTACAGGTGAAAGATGGGATGCGATTCCACGAGGTAAACCCATATCTTCTATCCACTCTTCCAGCACAACCAGATTCATGTCGATCTGTACCGCTTTAGACCTATGCTCGGTATGTGTGAGCACTGGTAGACTGCGTTTGCAACAAATACATACCGGCAGAGATACTTTTTCCTGGTCAGAATTCGATTGAATATTTCACCTAACGTCCCGAGTCAACTATAAGTGGAAAAGAATGGAAAACTACACTCACACGAAGTCCAGTACATCACTTGAGACCAGAATTGAATCATTAGCACAGGATTAACGTCCGAAAGGGTTAAAAGTGTATGTAGCGCCGTCAAGAACGAAGTCATGTCCCGCAATCCTGTAGTTTGCGGGACGTCAGAGTGCGTGTTGAACGCTGTCGAAGGTGTTTTTGCGCGTGAAAGGGTTTGTCTCAACGATGACAATCCTTTAGCTGTGACAGGCGCGGGGCCGAGTAACATAGGGGACGGAGATGGTGGACGACTCGGTAGAAAAGGAGGTGAGGATGGTGTGCTATTCTTGGGTGTTCCATGATTTGGAGTGTTTGTCGTACTCTTTTTCTTGGCGCTAAACGGCCTCAAGAATGACCACTCTGATTCGAACTGCACGGATTCAAATCCCGATGCCACGAGCGAACCGTCCAGTATCGCTGCATCCAGTAATTGATCTATCCTACGCTCCGCGTAACGAATGATGAATACTTCAGACGATGTCAGGAATAAAAATACAACCGAACGAAACCGAATGAAACTTACCAAACACAGAGTTGATCACTTGCTCGAGGAGCTCAAATGAGCCCAGCATTTCACAACACTCATTAATAGCGTTGTCGCATTGCATGAGGTGCAACCATATGGTGGCGTTGTATAAGCAAAATACAAGACAAGTGATATCTTCTGAACGGCTCTGAGTGACTGGATTAGTGGTGAGAGCATAAAAGTAACAAGCATGCACACAAAGAACTTCTCTTCGATTGCATCTGTCGCTCCTAGTACAAGATCTTCAAGCCAGGTTTGATCGCATGTTAAGCATGCAAAACGCGCCATAAGGTATAAAGTAATGGCAGGTTGAGAATTCCGAACAGAAGTATGGGAGGTCGTGATGACTGCATCGAAAATATGTGAAAGCTCCTGTGGAGACCATGCGAGCATAGATGTAAAGTCTAGTTTTGGAGTCTCCATGACAAGATAAGACAACCGCAAGTGTAATTTCAAGGAGGATATGCAACTCACATACAGTTCTTCGTCGAGTTGATCATCATCGCCATCAGAATCATCTGATAACAAGCCTTCATCTTCCTCACGGGAACCCCACCATTGATTCTGTAGACCAAGCACTTTTGAGATATTCTCGCGTACGCTTTTCTGTCTTCCTTTACGTTTAAGCTGCTCGTCCAATGCTCTCCGCTTCTTTTCCATCCTGCCTCCCATCCACCCTTGGCTCCGCATTGCTTCTTCCAGTAACAACGCAATGTCATCACGTCCTGGCAGAACAGTGTGAGCAGTCACTATATCGAGCGGTGTCAGCCGTCGGCGTGTTTCTGCGAAAGGAGAGCATCCATGCGTCATCAGATGGGAGACCAGAGTAGGGGGACAAAGAACTGCAGCGTGATGAAGGGCAGTCCAGCCAGCTAATAGCGAAATGTCAACAACTGGGTGGGATGGAAGCGATGTACTCACCTTTATCTGCAGAGGTGGCGTCAGCTCCCTGTGCAATCAGCAGCCGGACACACTCTTCACGTTCGACATCTCTCTCCGATTCAGACCCGAAACCTAGGATTGCAAGACTGATCAAGCTAAGCCCATCTTCGTCGCGTGTACTGAGGTCGACATAAGGTTGTGATTGATGGTCAGACAAAAGATACTGGAGAAGAGATAGATCCCCAAATACGCATGCTCGTGACAGTGAATGAGATACCAGTTCAGATTTCTGGGAGGGTGCTAAGCCCGAATCGGGTGACAGCAAGTGGGATATTAGATTTGAACTTGGATACAAAGGATGAAGATCAGGCTCCGGGGAGAAATCCAGTGGTCCAAGCGATACAGGAATCATCGTTATGATAAAACGTTGGGATTAATGTTGGGTCGCTGATGACAGCAAGGCAGCTGTTGCCGGTAACCGCGTCGACTACCAGACGGGACCTATCTTCTCCTTGTAAAGACCGCGATTAGGCGAGACAGAGATTTCCGCGACAATCGCCTGTACAAAGAATGATCTGTAGGACCTCGAGCTCGATGCTTGCGAGAATGGTGTTAGACTAAAATTTTAAGCATGCTCGTGTAGTTCAGTGCTAGCATGTGAGCAAAGTGACTAGTTGTCCAAATTAAAATTAGACTTATTTCAAATCCACCTTAGTTCAACCACATCATGCCCGCTAAACGGCCAAGGCTATCAGAAGATAGCGATGTTGACGCGTCTGGTGCAGACCACGAACAGAGTGACAATGATCTCGATGCTGCACAGCAGTCCACGACCTCTGCTTCTTCATCAGAAGACGACGATTCTCCGGACACGGAGGCTGAAATTGCGGATAAAAGAATAACAAAGTCGAAGAAAACATTAAAACGAAAGCGGCGGGCAACAGAGCCCTCACAGTTTGGTGCTACCTTGCAAGGCCTGCTTGACACCATCGCACCGTCAGACCTGCCGCTATCGCTCAAACCTTCTATCGCGCGCCAGAAAAATGGTGCAAAGCTTGAATTGAAGGCCCACAAAGTGATTCAAATAGAAAAGAAGGAAAAGGCGGATAAAGGACATATACGGGATGTTATCGGAGGTTGGGGCGGCGAGAGCGAACGCTCCTTGCGCAAGGTTGCTCAACGAGGAGGTGCGTATATGTTTGCTTGCATTATCCTATCATGCATTGAAAATATCTCAAGTGGTGAAACTCTTTAATACTATTCAACAATCGCAGGCAGCGGCGGGCATCGCCGCCGAACAGTCAAAAGGTTTGCGAGGAACAGGGAAACCTACGCTTCCAGCGCCCCTGTTGGACAAGAAGCCGACAGGAAAACAAAAGGCCAAGCACAAGGACAATATTATCGGGAGAGGAAATCCAGGTTCGTGCCTGAAATGATGTGGCGAACCTGAAGTGACGCTACGATACCCTTTGCAGCGACAATTGGGAAGGACGATTTCTTCGACATGATCAGGTCAGGTGGAATCGTCTCAAAAGTATAGGCGTCTTGCGCCTAGTCTCCCCCACACAGACCGTAGACGACTAGAGTCAACCGTTTCTTCATTGTTTTTGTTACGTTGGCGTTACATCTGCCCAGATGGTTCATCAGGGGCTAGTAGGCTTACTCGTCGTAGCTCGCAGTGGAGGAACTCAGGTTGTATTGACAGCATTGGACAGTGTACGACAGCTGGTAATGTTCGCATTCGAGAGCGACCAATTACTTCGTGCAATATGATACGGTCAACCCCTTTGTGCCACGATTCTTAGTCTCATCTCCGTCTACCTCTAACATCGATGCACCCGCACGTCATTCATATACAAGGAGGACCTTTGGTTCACATCTAAGCGCGATCTTGGGTATGGATTGTATTATTTATGCGACGCAGCACGAGTCTCCACTCGCTAATAATTTAATTCTAAAACAACGCTGCAAGTGGTACAGCAGAAGTTACATGCGGCGTTGAGTCTTACATCTGGTAGTCCTTCCTTGAAACTTGTCATTTCCATTCCGGAGTCCGATCGCTTGAACCTTAGAGAATACTTGCTAATTTTGGTCGGTCATGGCTATACCTGTGGATACTACTCAACGATACACGAACACTACGGTACTAGATAAGTACTATCTTCATGCTCAGCTGCAGGGCCCTTTTTCGAATTCCGGTAGCAAGACGACAATACACGAGTCAAAAAGATGTAAGGACTGCAATCTAAATTCAACCGCGTATTGACCTGCCAAATCAGAACTCAATAGGTTGCACGTTGCCAAACCTGCCCTGAAGTGGTGCAGAGCTTAAATTCGTTTCACCTTCACCCCCGTCACATCCATGGTGTGTATTTTCAAGCTTCATTCCTGCAGCATGTCTCTTACAATTATTGGCCAAACTTTAAACTTCAGCCTCCGAGGACCATAATTCGTAAAGAAGAGTGGGAGCGGCGTCTACGCGAGGTTCAAGTCACGAAAGAGTGAGTGTTTATCCTTGATTTCTTGGCTCAAAAGATGAAAAAATCATCAATGGGAATCTCTCTGAAATTTGAGATGAGAAAAGATATTGCATGTATTATCTGATATATCCCCGTTATACGCTGTATCTTGAGCATTTACTGACATTCTTCCTTGTCAGTGACTTGAACCGACTTATTATGGACTACCTCGTCATCGAGGGATACAAGTCTGCCGCAGAGGAATTCAGTGATGAAGCCAATGTTCCACCACCGGTAGACTTCGAGAGTATCGAAAGTCGCATGGTGATTCGAGAAGCCCTGCAACGGGGAGATATCGAGGAAGCCATTTCCCGCATGAATGACCTGAATCCTGAGGTGGGTCGTGTGTTCTTTTTTCGTGGCCTTATATCAAGGACGTAAGATTAAAACGTTTCATGCACCACTCTCAGACTTTTTCGGAAGTCGGTGATGAGAATTGTAAACCAAAACTTCAGTCTTCAATATGATCCGTCCTTGATCCGTTTCACATGTGAGATGTACGAATTCTTACCTTTTGCATTCTAGATCCTCGATACGAACCCTGCACTGTATTTTCACCTTCAGCAGCAGAAGCTAATCGAGCACATTCGGCATGGGCGTATCACAGAGGCATTGAAATTTGCACAAGACGAACTCGCGCCAAGAGGTGAAGAAAGTCCAGAGTTTCTTGCGGAGCTCGAACGTACGATGGCACTTTTGGCGTTCGACTCTTCATCCTCGGCCCCTCCAGCTATATCCGAACTTCTTTCGCCCGCACAGCGGATGAAAACTGCGGGTGAGGTTAATGCCGCAATTCTCGAAAGTCTTAGTCAGGGAAAAGAGGTTAAGCTAGTGCAGCTTTTGAAGCTTTTGTGCTGGAGTGAGGGGATGTTGGCGGATCGTGCAGATTTTCCCAAGGTTCGTGCCTTGGCATTTGGATTCGATTGGGTTAGTTCAACTCATGGCTCTTAGATTGATCTTCAAGAGGGATTGGTGGCGACGAGCCGAAAAGAAGCAACAGATGATTCCATTATGCGAGAATGAGGGACAGCATGTATAGTATCGAGTGTATCATAGTAGAGGGCGTAACATGGATGAGTTGTAAGCATTTATATCCACTTGAGATTGTTCTTGGCAGGAAGGTCCGTGGAACAAGTAACCGTAAGTACTTGGTAGTAAGTACCACGGTGAGAGTAGTCCGGGCGGATTGTGTTGAGTCAAGGTTATTGGGCTATTTGCTTGCGTACAAAATAATTCAAACGTATGCTCGTCGACACGGCTTGTTGATGTTGGACATTATTTTGTGCGTGTGATACATTGGTCTTCTAAATCTGACTGTGTTTCATGCTAACACATGTCTGCCAGTTGGGAAAGGGTTCTGGTTGCTGCGGCAGCTTCCACCACTTTGGTTGGTTGGTGTTATCGCGAAGTTGCATTCAGTGTCGTGGGTCACGTGACATTAAGGAACGACGACGCGACCCAAAACACCACTGCAAGCAAGACACTACAACAACAGTGATGGGCACAGGTGACCACGATAATCGAATAAGCAACGAGAAGATAGGACAAGACGCGTCGTGGTTTAGCGTTGCCACTCGATCAATAAGCACTTGTTCGAATTCTGTACTCGCAGGCCATCATGATTTATCATTACTAGTGACTAGTCGCGTTATCCCTCTTTCCTCAATCCGTTGTCTACGACTGAGGGTATGTCTCTAGATTGTTTCATCGCATGTTACCTTGATGCTGATCCAGCTACGATAGATTGACCGTTGTCTAATCGTAAACAAGTGAGAAAACTCGACCTTCTAGGCATTGTCACCCCACATAGGCTAGACCCATCGTAGTTCATAGCTACGTCCGTTTTCACGACGAAAGGTTTCGTGAAATTCTGGTCTCACTTCTCAGGTACCTTGCGTTCGATGTGAATCATATTCTTGTTTTCACTAACCGACGCGGCGGATTTCTATCGTATCAATAATCGCTGGCGCAGATCACAGCCAAAACCACTACCCCCCCCCCCCCCCCCCAACTGGCGAAAAACCTATTCTTTGTGCTAGGATTAAGCATAATGCCCCATAATGCACGCTAAGACATTTCATCCAGACTCGCATAGAGTCCTCGACTGAGGCAAAAGGTATGCGAAACGAACGCGGGAGAAACACGTAGACAACGAGACTACAGAGATGGTGAGTACGTCGAGTAACGAAGTTGTAAATCTAATGAGTACTAGCGTCATAGCGCGAGGCTAGGTCTAGCACTTTGCCCTGTACTCAGACGTCATTCTGTCAATTCATGTTCGAGCAAGTACCTCAGTCCCGTCATCACACATGCTGTAAATCCTGTGATGGATTCCACTCTGCGTACCGTGGTGGCATCGCACTAGTAAGCAACCAATTGAAAGCCAATGGTATCTCACTCAAAGTCCCACTGAAGACATTTGTGATAGTCGACTGATTCTGTTCATTTATAGGCTCTCGTCATTTGATCGAGACGCTAAATCACCGAGGTCTCAAATGCATATATAAGGATACCCCCGCGGTAGGGTATAAAGGCACACGATAGTATTGATGCGTGGCACAATATAGTATGTCGAATGGTCAGCGGAGTACCGAGGTGAGTCATGGTCTGTCATGGTTCCCAAAGGACATTGCATCGAGGCTTGAAGCAGGGTACAAAACCGAGCGTCGCTCGCTTGGTGAATATATCTCGGCTGGTACAGCATTTTCGCACGGGGCATCGTTTTTTACATACAGGTTCAACCTTTACCTCCAAAATCATTCATTCGAAGAAAATGATGTTTGGATTTGAAGCGACTCATAAATTTAGTGTCGCTCGCTTTGCCGAATACATTTTCATCCATTGTCTATCGTATTGAGGTGAGGTTGCAAGTTGTTGACATTATTGTCTCGTGTTCAGATATGGAAACGACTCATCGATCGCTTTGTCGAACACATTTTCGTCGTCTGTCGCGCTGAGGTTGTAAGTTGCTACATTTCCGAGGAGTCTTCACTTCAAGCCCGTCTTTTCGTGGTCGTAAGTAGCTTTTTGTCGGAAAATGAGGAACTTTTTTTTTTCGAGTCCTCCATGAAACAACATAGCAGATTATGTAGTAAAACCCGTTTCGGTTCACTGATCATTTGATATTGTTCCTAGGATTACGGGTCCATGGAATAACCGGCGTAACTGATGATCTAACTCGGTTTAGCCACGGTGAGGGTAACCCGGGTTGCGAGCTGGAAGAACAACGGAAAGAACAAGGAGGTATTACTTACCATAAGGTACCATAACTATGCATGGCGGCCATGAGGATGTTGACGGCATCATATATATATGGTGGATTTGATTTTTTGTCTTCCCCCATTGGGGCTTAAGTAAGCTTACGGTTGGATGCCACTTTCCAGCGCCAACGGACAAGTTTGACCACCTTACGACGAACTATCTTCCTTCTTACACATAATACTCGTCGTCCGAGTATAAGTACTCTTTATAAAGTATTCTTAGGATATATAAAAAGCCAGCAAGGTATAACATATCCCAACTCTTCACCGTTCATCATCATCGTAGTAATCATGGCTTACAAGCAGATCAGGAAACCGTCGGGGAGAGCTGTTAATGCCCTCCTACTCTATGTCAGAGGATACTAGGTCGTCGAGCGCACCTAGACCTCGTCGTGTCCTTGTTCTATCAAATCCAGATCCAGGCGATTCTAGCAGTAGTGAGGATGAACGTCCTCGTTACCCTCATCATCCACAGGATTCTAACCCTTCCTTGAATCAACATCCAACATCAATATTTCCAACTCCACCATCTCGTCCTCCAAGACGGCCGGCTCCCCCCTTGACAACGAACGATCTGCCAAACCACTATCCTCCATCCCGTTCAAATCCCAATCTATCCTCACCTTCGAGTCAGAGCTCAAATGCAGTCGAATCAACTCCTCCACCAAGCACTCCTGGTCAAACAGCACACTCAGATTTGAGTCATTCAGTCATTACCATTGATGATGGCACAGCACTCGTTGAACGAACCGAGACCGCTCAACCTCCTACTCGTCTCCAGAAGATCGCCGATGTCCTTCACTTCCGCCATCGCAGACCTTCACATCGACATTTGGGTTCTGATGTTTCTCTCCATGTGAGCTAATTCATTTATTTGTTTTTCCTCTGACCGTTATCTCATATCCATGCTTCAGTCTCCATCACCTTCTTCTTCATCGCCGACTGTACCACCTCCGCCTGCATGGGTTATCATGGTAACCTACGACTGCCATGCCTATACAGCTGTAGACATCACACATGCAAACAGCGCAGCTTTCATCTGGGAGCGCATTTTTGCTGAAGTGCGCCGATTCTTCCCATTCCATTTCAATCCTGACCAAGTGCCGCCGCAGCTCAAAGTACCTCATGAAGATCAGAGTGGACAACTTTCCATCTATCGCACTCAAATCGGCAAAGTCGCAATCGGCGAACCACTGTCAGACGATAACCTAATTCGGCTGGTTCGTGATCGAGGTGACAGTGAGGGGAGCTTGAAGTTCCTGGTTTGTCCTTCTCAAGCAAGGGTTCAGGACCCTTCGCTCCTGAGTTCCCCAGTCAAATCCGTCCCCCCGCCTCCCGTGCCAGTATTCAGTCCCTTAGTCCCAAGGCCACGGGCAACCAAGTCTTCTCAGCAGGAGAGTGTATCCTCTGACGATCTAACCCCGGACGCAGGCTATGAGCCGTCTGTGATATCTGATGATATCGATGATTCAGATAACAGGAGTACGATGAGGCCACCTCCTCACCCTAATTCATCCGCCACCACGTTGTCGTCACCACCCCACAGTGCACGATATGAAGACCGTCAACCTTCTCCCGCATCCGCAAAAACACCGCAATCGGCAAGCGTCGATCGCCATCGTTACGATTCGCCTCATGGACAGAGTCTTCCATCTTCTCAATCTACCCCCATTCTTGAGAATTACCTCAATAAACGCCACCCGCGGAGAGGATCAGATGCAGAGACAGTTGAACAAGCTTTTCGCGACCTTGAACGTGCAGCGGAGCTAGCTGATGCGGAATGGACAAAACCACAGGATAAGGGCATCATTCGGGCGCGGGCTGTAAAACATCGACCCGAAAGATTGACAACTTCCGACGATCATGCAGGACTCGCAGCCGCCCGTGACAGCGAGCTGGGATCTGTGGTGAGAAAGCCTTCTCCACCTTCGTCGTCGGGAATGGCGCGTTCGCCCTCGACCAAGAGGCGACCGTCACACGCTGAGTATTCCCCTCGCCCATCTCAGACCAAGAAGGGGGGAGGAGGCAAGCCGGTTCCCCCACACTATATATCCGCTCATAAGCCGACCGATTCTTCGACTGCTATAAGGACAGTCAATAAAGCGAAGAGCTCAGAGTTTCTCAAGAATCCTCTGCCACCCATGCTTCGCACTTCACCGAGCCGACCCCATCTTCCTACTCCGTCCGGTTCGGGCACCAATTCTTATCCAAGACCCCTAGATTTGGGACCCAGACCCAGACCACTTCCTCAAAGCAGGCCCGATATTGTCAATGTGGATACTACCACATATACTCGCGCTCAGCAACCATCAGGGAGCGGCACTCTTGGTTATCTGTCACCCACTCAGGAACCATACCCGCGCCCACATTCTGCCTCGCCCTCCCAGCAGCGGTACCCTACCAATGACATACATCGCGACCGTGATGAATTTAGGCCCACTCACCAAGCTCAGTCCAGCAGTGGCTCTTCAAGGTTTGGTGATGTTCCTCTGAGAGAGGATGGCTATGGGATCACCCTTCCGTCGTCCCTAAGACCTGGTCCTTATGCTGGTTCTCCGGCTCGCACCAATCCTCCATCTGAAACTCCCCCACGTAGCCCCGTTACTTCTCGGCCGAGTACATCGAATAATACATGCGGACTTACCTTTACTTCCACTGGGACGATGGTGCCTTCGACTTTCAAGAACGATTCTGGTGCTGGCAGCCAGGAGAGCACAGCCACAGAGTCCACTTTACGTCCGGATGAAAAGGACAAGCTGGTATGGGATATCAGAGCCTCCATACTATCAGATTCCTCGGATGATGGAGTTGGCACTAATGAAACTTACGGGACCGCTTCTTCTGATCTGTGGTCACGCAAACCCACATCAGAAAACAATGACAGCTCTAGGACTCCCGTTACTGGTACCAAGCAGAATCCTAATCCTTCACGTCCCGCTCTTCACGTCACAACCCCAAGCTCTGGACCTGGCAATATGACGCGCGGTGTTCCGGCCAATTTCCCAGCACCCCCCACTTTCATGCCTCTGCTACGCCCTCCTCGGCCGCGTACGCCGAAGACTAGGCACAAAAGCACCACGTTCGAGGAGTCCACCTGGGCGCATCGTCCTCCTCCA